CTGCTGATATTCCCTTCACTGGCTCATGCATGAATTTAGAAAGAGACTTATCCACAGTTTCAGCCATGGGCGGTGGAGATATCCCTGAAGACTTTCTAGGAGGTCTTGATGCAGCCGTAACCCAAATGACCTGGCAAAAATGAAAATCACGTTTTTTCCACTTCGGTGACGTTCCACTACATGGTCGTCGTTTATTAGCATCCAAAGCTTAACCGAAAGGCGGCCAAGACATCTAACTACAGAAAACGTGCTATAGAAAATGCAAAATCGGCAAACATCTACTTTTATGATGCCTTACCGAAAAAATGGTTAATACATTTCATAGCATAATTGGAGGTTTTTCAGTGTTTGATCTCGAGATCGTAGAAGGAAACCCGGAAGCATTAATCTCCAAATTTTTTTGAAGCTACCTTGTTGTTTCATTCAGGAGTAGTAGTTATTAAGAGAATCATTATTGAATAGTTCCAGTGATATATAAATTGTGAAAAAGCTAAGAATATCTACTTCAGGTCCGATTTAGTTATATTTTTTGTTTTATTTTATTTTTATCTTTATTTTTATTTTTTATTTTTATTTTATTTTTATATTTTTATTTTTATCTTTATTTTATTTTATTTTTATTAATAAGATAAAATGTCAAACATTTTTTTACGCTTTTTTTCCCATCGATTTTGATTTTTAAAACAAATAAAAGTTGCCATTACCATTAATGACTCAATTTGGAATTAGATAATGCCAATTAATCCCTTTTTAATCCCTTTTGGAAACAAAGATTTTTTCGATTAACAAAAATACAAAGTTATTAAATTGTTTTTGTCGCACAGCATCTGAAATATGAACACATACAATGATGATCGATTTTAAAAAAATAAAAGATATTTCATAAATTTATACCTCAACTTTGAACAAAATTCTCGTATTAACTAATAAATCAAATTGTTCTTTAGTTAATTGATACGTTATTTGTAGACTAATATAACTGGTAAAAGTTATATACATAATCTCATGGAAGTTGACCTTTGCTTTGTTATGGACTGCACTAGTTCTATGGGGGGTCATATTAACGCTGCTAAAGTCTGTATCTTAAATGTGGCAAAACATATGGAAAAGATGAAGCCAAGTGTTAAAATTCGATTCGGTTTCTGTGGCTACCGCGACCACTGTGATGGTGCTAATC